CAACCAGAGGCAAGCGCCGCCAGGGGACGCTGCTTGCCATGGGCCAAAAGCACCTCAAGGGCCTGCCACGTCTGGCTGCTGCTGCCCTTGGCAAGGGCTGTGTACCATGGGGGGTGGAGCGTGTGGCATTGGCTGTGTGAGCACCACACTACTCCCACAAACCCACACCCCTTCACAACCCCTCCACACTGCCTACCAACCCCACACCCACACAACATACAAGAGTAAGACTTTATTTTGTGTTATTATGCAATCACCTCTATACACACTATGCAAACACAAATCAGGATGAAGTTTTTTTAAAAATAAAATTTAAATACATTATAGTAGGTGTCTGACTTTTAGTATATGATTTGGGTTTTTTTTCTGGTTCCAAGATGGCACCCACCCTCCCAAAAGGCGTACTGTTGGGGGTAAGTGAGGGGTGTTCCCAGTGGCAAAGCTCAGGGATTAGGGGTGGGACTTCCAGTCCCAAGATGGTGATCAGGGGGCCGGGTATCTGTCAAGGGGTGGGGCTATGAGTTAAGTCACCATCCAGCCAAAATAATTGTGTTTATGCAGTATCTGCACTAAAATGCATCAATTCTAGATGAACAGAGTTTACGAGTACAGTATGCAAATTACTACAGGTATGTTTCTTTTAAGGTTAGTGTTTTCAAATTTGCCCCCTACGTCCATATGCCCAGGGAGAGCAGGGTCTGATGGTGAGAAGGGGAAGGGAGCTACCTGACCCCCCAAATTTATTTTCCCTGCTGTAGCAGCAGAGGGGGAAGGTGACAAATTCAAGGCAAACCTCCAATAATTACATTCTATACCTGGAAAATTATAACAAAATGTATACATTTTCTATATATAGAAATTAATTATGGGGGTAGGGGTCTTCTACTATTCAAGTAAATATGGTAAATGAAATCTGCTCCATCTGGGTGTGCTGACAAACATGGCCAGTATCAGTCAGATGCAACTTAAAAGAACCAACACTGTAAAGCCTTCCGCAAGTGGGAAGCATAATAGAAAACCAGCCCTTGTATGGGTGCAGTGCTTGTGGGCACACTATTTATTGGCTTGTGGTCTGCGGGGGTCCAAAAGATAATACTTTTTGCAATGACAGGTGCATTCAGGTGTGGACACACTGCAATGCTTCTTGGTAGCATTTTGCTAGTATCTTCTACTTCTGCTCTAAGCAGGAAATGTCTTTGGGGGCAATGAAAGGCAAAACACAGAAAGCAGACTTCTATTGGTGAACACTCAGGCTTTAAACAACATACACAGAGCAGTTCATTTCCAAAAGGTCATTTATTACTTGTATTACAGTAGACCCTAGAGGCCTCCACAGACACTGTGGCCCCACTTTGCACATACACAGTCAAAAAGAGCCCCTGCCATGAAGAGCTTACAGTCTAAGTAGACAAGACGGGAGGAAGGAGGTATACAGCTGGGACAAGGCCGGGAACTGACCTTGCATCTCCCAAGTCCTGGGCCAGTGCCTTGCCTAACTCCCTTTGTCTACTTGAGCATCACTTTGATTGCTGGATGAGCAAATTACACTCAGTGAAAACCACTTCTGTGGGCAAAGAGCCAGGAACCCAATGGCTCTGCTAGTCAGACATAGTGTTCATTATTAGGCTTGCTCAAGGAAATGGTTTGCTGATACACCTTCACCTAGAGCACCCTCTTGTCTTCTTTGAAGTCCTATTGGTTCTCTCTCATCAGTAATCCCTCTCAACCTCCTTCCTCTTTCCAACATAACTCTGTTTAGGGTACAAGGTTTTCAACAAATGTGTGCTGTAAGTGACTCTCTCAACCTTGTGCAATAAAACAACTCTTGATGAACATGCCTTTTTCATGGGAGTGTCTATCAAAATTGGGCCATGCTCTTAATGGGCTCTCTGGGTCCTAGTGAAATACAAATCATGGTGTCTATTCTTCACAGAAGGGCCAATTAAGAGTCCACTATAGTCAGCTGAATTCTTTCTAGCGACTACAGTAGGCTCTGGATCCGGTCCACAGTGTTCAGTATTCCTTTAAACCAACTCATCCCCATTTCAAAGTAATACTTTTGAATTTGTTTCAACACTGATACTACAGCAGCAGTCTAATATTAGTTTACATTCCCTACATTACTGAAAAGTACTGGCAACAATGATAAGTAATTCTTTTAATGTGAAACAACTATTATTAAAAGTAACACACACCTTCACAAGGTAAGATTCCAGTCTGAAAAGATATTAAGTGGTTGATTTACACATGTACAGTGGTTTAAAACATTATTTTTAAAATAAAAAATACAGCACGTCCAAATATTGCATACAAAAAGTAGAATCTGTCCTAAAATAAAATTCTATCAAATCATTTTAAAAAATTACAAAAGTAAAATGCATACAAACTCCAGTAAAATTGAACAGTCTTCTATGTTGAACGTCATTTACAAAGACACATCCCGATACACAAAAGAAACCTTATTTTTTCCTATATATTCACAACATAATGTTAGAAGGAAAACCGTGTGTCACATTATTAAAAGCCAGTATTTCCACCATGGTCATTTCTAGAACAGAGCTGAAGACACTGGACACTGCAGGGAAAGAAGATTTTTGGACCAATGAAAATCCTAAACGGACAGGAATTTTCATCTGAAAAGACAGAGGCATGAAAACTAACCAGCATATAGGGCAGGGCAGGCAGCTAAAGGACACGGGGTCTGCAGAGAACTGTTTGCAAAACTATGCTGAGTTCCCAGAGAGAAATACGAACACAAAACCTCAAGGGAAATTCCAGCCGCTGCACAGCCCTTCCCATGATTCCTGCCAATGGCTCTCCGAGCACCTGCAATGTGACTCATCAGTTTCTGAAAAAGCTTCTCAAATACTTCAGATGCCTTGATTTCTTCCTTGGGATGCCAGCATTCCCCTCTCCGATCCGCATGTGAAGTTGTAGTATTAAATGCACAGACAATTCGACAATTCGGGACAATGCGACAGACCAATGGGGATTTCAAAACGAATTCGAAGGACAGGCAAGTAAATAAGGTGCATTCTAGAAAGTGATTTAGCTTTGTTCACTAAATCCACTGTGCAAGCAAGTAGCAAAGCAACAGACAGCTGCGCTGTCGACATCTAGTTTAAAAAGACAGTGGCTTTAAAGCCAGGTTGAGTTCCTGTCCTCCGCTCAGTCTCTCTCTGAGGCTTGTCTACATGGGCAAGTTAGCATGCAGTCAGCAGGAGTGCTGGTGTACAGTGCACCAGCCACTCTACTCTTACTTGCCATGTGAAGTCCTGGTTTGTGGCAATGTGAGGAAGCTGCTGCTGCTCTGAAAGTGGAGCAAGCTATTTCATACTACACCTGCCAAGTGTCCACCCGTAGAGTGAAGGTGCAGCAAGGGAAGCAAGTTACCTGTGCACCAGCTCCTTCACACACATTTCCCCATGCACACAAACCTTCTGCTTATATGTTCCCTGCGGAGCAGATATACTATAAATACCGTTACATGGTTACAAGACCTGATGACTTAAAAGGGAGCTCATTTAGTTCACAAGAAGGGACGTGTAAAGAAGTTGCTTTAATGCTGTGACTTAACAGAAGTGCGTGGCTTTACAGCACTTTAAACATGGGTATAGCGCTTTAAATGAACCCTTACTAAATGAGGTATTAAAACCTGAAGTGCTGTATTTCGCAGCACTTCAGCAACCTACAGCACTCTGAATAACTTCTGCATGCTAGTCAAATTTCTGACCTGTAGAAAAGCTCCTGGAGGCTGCAGAAACTAGGCTGGAAAGTGCAAGGAGGCTTTGAACCTCACCCCCAACCCCCAACACTGTGCGCATCATGTTTAAGAGTGCTGTAACCTTACAGTGCTATAAAAAGTGCTCTAAATTACAGCACTGTAAAAAGCGTGCGAAGAGCACTTCCGTACACATGCAAGAGCATATCGTCAAAAAAGGGCCCCTTAATTCAAATGTAATGGATAACTGGAAACATTGCTGTTCTATAGCTAGCACCTTTCCAAAGGAACCCAAAGCCATTCAGACAGTGAAAAGTGTCACAGAACCTCAGCATGGTACGGAAACATTGGCAACAATTTTACAGATGGAGAAACTGAGGCATGGAGAGCACAAGTGATTTTCCTGAAGTCACACAGCCAAGCAAGAATAGAACCCAGACATCCTGCCTTCAGGTGTTACCCTTCAGCCAAGCCACTGCCATCCAGCCAGGGAAAACCATTTATTTTGGCTTTTATAAACACACAAGAACTATGATTATGAGACCATCTCAAACTGTTTATTTATTTAGTCCTATTCCACCCTACCCAAAAGGCTCAGAGCAGCTAAGGGGACAAGTTTTGAATAGGAACAGGAGAAATTTATATACAGAGATCCAATTTTCTTTATCCAACAGCCAGAAAATGAATATATTGACACATCTAGATGCAACTAGTAAAGAAGTCACTTGCAGAGTAAATAAGGGTGCTAGATGCTGTAAAAAAGGAATGAGTCAATTGCAAAAGCTAAGTCATACAACCTTGGCCTGTTACAATTTGAAGAAGTGTCAAGCTGGTCTAATATTAATTCTAGCCCAAGGGGTATTACAGGTAAGAGAGCAACGCAATTACAGATCTCATTCTTGAGAAAGTCAGCATGCACACTACATATTCATATTAGGAAAGATTTTTTAGTGACGCTGGATAACATGGGGTGTCTACATGAGACACTACGCTGCTGTAGCATTGAGCTACGGCAATGTAGCTCACTGCTACGTCTCTGTAGCGTTGGTGGGCACAAACCACGACGAGCGACAAGCTACCTCGCTGTAACAAAGTAGCTGATAAAAACTGCGCCACCATTTAGTACGTCCTAAAACAAGTACTAAATGACAGCACAGTAACAACTGTGCCGTGGGGGGCATGTGTAGATGCGCCCACAAAGTGGCTTCTGCTAATCTTTTAACTTACTGAGATAATCCACAAGAGCAATATATCAAGAGCATTTGACAACTGAGGGATACAAGGAAAGCAAACAATTTATACCCACTCTCCTGGCTGCTGGGCCAACTACTGTCACCTCAGCAAATTGTTCAAGGATGAATGTAGACCAGACACAGTTAACAATTCACCCACCAACTAAGCAATCACATTTCCTAAACTGTAATGTGCAAGTGCACCACCTGTTCAGGTGGAGAAGAGGAACCAGTGATACAGGAATAGGTGACGAATTTTTTCTTGGCCTAGCTAAAAACAAAAAAGTAGTAAAGTTCTCCTCAAGTGCCTGGATTCTGTGGGACCTAGGATTTTTAGGCACTTCCCTTGAAATTTTTCAAAGAGGGTGAAAATTATTTCCTGAAAACCCAGTCCCTTTATCAGAGGTCTCCAGGGGGGTCATCAAAAAATGGAGGCTGCCCCAAATGCCAGCTAGGTGTACAAATGATTGCATGGTGTTCACTTTGCTTACTACCTATATGCAGATCTATTCAAAAGAGCATGCAAGCGCACTGTGCACCGATGGTATTTGGAAGAAGTTCATATCAGAACGCATTGCTCCAAATACGGCAAGGATGCAGGGTGAAAAACAGGAGCGCAAATACTTGCCCAAATATTTGCTTTTGCTTGTTGAAACTCAGGACAAAGAAGAGCTTTCATCTTCATTTTTTATTGTTTTATCTACCTTGAAACAGGAACTGTAAATGGTAAAAGCAGAATGACATGTTTTTCTGATTTTATTGTGGCCTTCTCAACCTGCACTGAAACAGAAATTTGAAGCTGCTGGCAGCAGCGCTCCTTGATGAAACGCACAGAAATATTCCAGTGCTGTCTCCAATAATACAATGAGAATTTTTCTGTGTCTTATGTGCACTGGGACAGCACCGTTGTGTAAAAGTCTGTGATTAACCATCACCTTATCAACTACATGGGCTTTCTGTAAAGAAACTAATAAATCTTGCCTTGACACCTGTGATATTACATACTCCCTGGTGGTCTAGAAATCAACTTGAACACTGACTCTGTTGATCGGAGTGATGAAAGTATTAAGATCTTAGAGTTCTTTTCTTTATGATTGCTAAATTTTCTGACCCTGCTCCATATTCTGGACCCAGTGAAGGCTATGGGAAAGTTCCCATTTATTTTAAATAAGGTTGGCATTCAACCCTATTGATGAGGGCATGCCTGCAAATTCCACTAAATAGTGAGAGGTGCTCTACAGCTTAAAACAATGACATTTCATTCAAAAATGTTAACTACATTCCCAGAGCTACACCAACCAACCCAGCAGGTGCCCTGCCAAACCATCATCATGAATTAGTCAGAGCCTAATGCACGTAATAAAATATACAAAATAGCACCCAGAAACATCTCTACTACAAGAGCTAGTGACTGCATGATTTTCTTCCAGATAAAAAACATGACCCAATATGAAAAGTGAAGATTTATCAATGAGGAAAAATTGCTGCTGCTCTCACAGCTTAACAGGATGTCTAAAACACATGGGATAAGATGTCCAAGTCCTCATCATATTCCAATGATAGTCAGTCCTAACAAATCTAGGAACTCTTCCCTTTCTAACAGCAACCAATATTTTGCATGTAGATCAATCCCTTTTATTGATGTATTTACAATGTAAGACTATGCATTCGCTCCCTGCTTAGTTGGATAGTTCTCCATAAACTCACATCTGTTAATATTCTCCAGATGATAAAACTACTTCAGTATAATCTGATATCCAATAGTACCATCTGGACATTTGCTAAATTCCCAAGTTGGAAGCTCCATGATACACTTGGGCCATTTAGTGAATATAGTTTTCCTGTGAGAACTACCACAAATATTGCCTGCTATTTCCAGGTAGCTTTAATAATTCGCTCATGTTGACACTACAGAGAACACAATGCAAAGAACATGCTAAGACGTGTGAAATGGTGCTCTTTTCAGTGATTTCCTAAAAACAGAAAATAACTATGTTTAAAATTATTGACTAGCTGTCTTGGCCAACCTTTCTAGGCCTGACTGGGAATTCAGGAAGTCTTTGCATAGACACGCATTTAAAACAGAACGAGCTATTAACAGAGAAAGGAATCGTGAGGGTTGGGAAGTGAAGAGAATCAGAAAGCAGGGATGGAAGTGAAGCCCGTCTTCTAACCCTTATCTGCCTCGTTAGCAGCATGAAAGGCAGCAGAGCTGAGGAGTCAGCCAAAGGAAAAAGGCAGCAGAGCTGGAAGTTGAATTTAAAGCTATTAAGGCTCCAAGTGAAAAAAAAGGGAGGTGCAGCCAAGACTGTAACTACCTATTTAAAATGAAGGCCTGTTACAAGAGAAATGGTCACTGCAAAGCATCCTTCCTTGCATTTTCAATACAAACTGCAGCATAATTGTCCCTCTTTTAGTGGCTTTGCAGAATTGCTCTTCTGGCTTTTAGCATGAAAAGTGACTCTGAGTTAAAATAGGAAGGGAGTACTGTCATTTCTCAAAGCACTTTCCCATTGAGAAGTCAATTTTACTTTGGTACGGAAGTGTTCGGTTCTAATCAGTCAACAGCAATACATGATTACGCCCTGGCCAGACAAGAAAACATGTCCATTGTTACTCCAAAATTACAGAGGTAAGAACTGCACTTGCACTCTGCTGTTGGCCAATAAGAAAATGGAAAAATATTTCATTTCTGAATATGACTTGGGACTACTGAAGATTAACATTTCAGCAATGTTCAAAGCTCTCTCACTACAGCAAGAAAAAAAAAAAATCTCACTTTTGGTAAATTCAAGTCACCACAATAGTTTTTACCTATATGAAAGTAAAATAAATAAATAAATAAAACAGGCGACATGATTCAACAGTCTTATTCAGGAAAACTCCCCATGGCTTTAGTTAGGATAATGACTGAACTCTTTTAAACATCTCAGAAAGCATATTTTAAAGTTGAAATATTTTATTCCCCAGTCCTCGTCCCTAGATGTCCTTCTCCCCAAGTCCACAAACCTGAACATTTATTTCAATGAATCCCAGCAGCAGTCTTATCAATCATGGAACTTTACATAGTGAAGAACTGATCTTGTTTTTACTTAGAAGAAATTTCCCTTAGACTTGGCTGCATATGGGCTGCAGGATGCGATCTGTAGCAATAAAGTATAGTGCTCTGGTAGAATCTTACTGGCCTATTTGGTTTTATGGAAACTGCATTTTGGAGCAAAGCCATGGAGTGTTTTTCCATCTGACAATGATCACGGTGGTAGAGAAAATGAGAGTCTCTGCTTCTCAGCAAGGTGCCTGAAAGTGTGCAGGTTTAATTCCAATATAGCTGCAGCAGGTTGCTAAGCAGGTCTCAAAAGGACCAAACCAGAATTACCACTCTGTCCTGGCATCGCACCTGTAAACTAGAATTCTTGGCATGAATGTATTTTGTAGCTTTGCACGAGACAATGGGTAACAGGAGCTTCTGGGTACTGATGCTGTTTCAAACAGTGAAGCAAAGCCAAGAAAGTTGGATGGTTGTGCCTTTGCACCAAAAACCTGAAACGATGATAAAATATGCTTCTGGTTGCTCAAAATGTGCTGGCTTCATTTATTTAAAAAGTCTCAATGCCAAGTGGCTCAATTTGTTTATGAACGGTGCCTTTCAAGGAAGGATTCTGCTCTTTTAGCATCTGATGTAGCCAATAAACCCAGTCCTAGCACCCTGTTACTTATGAGTGTATATATATGTCCATTTGTCTGAAAACAATAAAAGCAGATGCTGTGAAATTAGTTATTTTGTTTTACTGCACAAGCAGAGTTTTGAGCTGAAAATATTAATGAAATATTCTCTCAGCAGAAAGAGAGGCAGACAGACTGAACTGATACATGTCTGAAGGGTAATGCACTGATTAGGTTTTATTTTTATGAGTTACGGTGGCTGTATTACTCAAGAGTGATGGAGCAGAGCCCCTCGCAGGAGCAGAGGGCGTTTGATTTAGATTTCTCGTTGAAGCAGAACATTACATGCCAACATCCTCAAACATGCACACATACACTCTATATAAAATAGCCACATTAAGAAAACATTCACTCAGTGTAATAAAATTCACGTTGTGGCGGGTATGCTTTTGCAACCTCATTTGCCGAAATGACTGCTTTGGTTACAAACAGTGGCTCTGCACCCACCATTATTTTAAAATAAGTCTATATGCACACACATGCTATAACTTATATTATATAGATATATGTTATACATGTTTATGCATATACATTAATGTGTGTATTTATAGACACACACACAAATATTAAACAAACAGAGCACACTCAGAGTGGAAGTACTGCAAATAATGTTGAACTAAACTAAGAATAAAATTCAGAAATTCCTAAAAGGTTTGAAACTGAGTGACAAAACTACTCAAAGGTACCTTTACTATTTATGTTCAAGTAAGGGCCACAATGGCCAAAGTTTAGTACTGATAAAAAAAAAAAAAGTTGGTGTTGTAGTTCCCAGGTTGTGTTAAATTAAGTCACGAATATCCCAACATCATTTGCCATTTTGCTAATAACAAGGGTAGGTCAGAAAGTCAGAAAACTTTTCAGGAAGAGAACACTTATAGAACTGGGTATCTGAAAACATTATTATTTAGACAGCCTTACACTGTAAACTAATCTTAAAATCATACATGCACTATAAGACTGCAGTCTCTGCTCAACAAAGAACTCCCCAAATTGGAAGCTGTACACCTACAGTACCGAGGGGCATGAAATAGGGTTTTACGGTGAAAGACGGTATTAGTTGGAGATGAAAGGGTAGTAGTGATGGCCATTAGAATATCAACATTTACCAACAGTGACTATATTGCAAACTTCCAAAATACCAGTTATTTCCTGTTTTAAGTGGATAGAACAACTGCAGCATTACAGATGCTACTGTCAGCTATCACTAGATTTTAGTGATAACTATTGCCTAGCTATTATTACACCAATCATTGAATGCACTCTGGCTCTGGGGCAAAAATTAAGCTTTTTCAACAACAGTGCAAGGTCCATTAAGAGTATCCAAAATGGTTAAAGACCAAAAAACCAGCATCTTCTTACAGAAATGGCTTTTATCGAAACACAACTATAGCTTATAAGCACCACATTATTTTAGCTTCTGCTACAACTGGGCATTTAACAATTAAATTAGTTACTAATTTAAAAGTTAATCGAGTTTTGAAAAGATTATCAGCTATTCTTATTTGGAGAGAAGACTGAAAGATTACTGGTGCCTTGGTCCGTATAGACACCTCACGCAATCTTGAATTGGCACAAATATCTGCACAGTTAATAGCAACAGGTACAGCCTTTTAAATTAAATATCAGTTCTGACACTGGTGCTCTGATTCCCATCCAAGTCTGACACCGGTTATCTGGCTGTGATAAAGATCAAAAGGGCATTTTAAAAAAAAATAATCTTCAAAACTGAATAAAACTGCATTTAACATTTTGTAGCTTTTCCTCCGTTCAGCTGTGCAATTCCAAGCAAATGTGCAGAACGCAACATGGATTCCCAGTCCCTTCCACAACTCCACCAGTTCTGTGTTTTTAAACTGAGACGACGACATCAAGATACAGTCGATCGTAGGATTCCCTGAAGCACAGAATAAGGAGCAGACTGAGCAAACATGACCCTGGGAGGCACCAATTGAACCAAGAAATCTCTGTAAAACAAAAATAATTTAGTGTCAAATTTGTGCAACATATTTCATTGTTAAAGCAACCAGAATATAAACCACTGAATTAGAAGATGTAGCTCATGGCTTTGAAGAACCAGCTCGTCTCTAAATGCAAAACAATGACAACTGTGCGACTGACAGAGAAATGAAATGTTTTATGAGATGCTGTTATGGATTTCTTTTAAAAGAAGTCCGTGTCGTTAATTAATTTTACTCTCTCTTATTCCCCTTGACAGTTGGAGAGAAAAAAAAATCTGCCATCTCCAAGAGAAAACAAACCTCCCTGAAACAGTAGTCTATTAATTATTTCTCAGATTTCTACAGGCTAAGAAACAGCATAGATTAAAAGGATAATATAAACACCAGCACTTTGATTCTGAGTCAAATCTGCTCCATGATTTGGATGGGGAAAGCCAATTTTTCAACAGAAACTTCTGCATAGTCCAATCAATCCAACTTTTAAAAGTACCATAAAAGCTCTCCACCAGCCTCTCTGTAGATATAATGTGCTTGTTCTTAAGAATATATCATTCTTCTGGGTATAAAAAAGTTGCCCTGTCAGTCCTCCTCTAATTATTTGTTTAGCAGGTTTAATCTGAAGGCAGGGGCAGCACAATTCTCTTTTCAGAAGCATTATGACTCTGCCTGAAGTTCACTGGAGAAGCATCAATTTTTCAGGAGCTGGTCTTTTACTTCAGTCAGTATTTCTACCGAATTTTAAACACCCCCTCAAGGGCTACTAATCATATTAAAGGCTCCTGCAATGCTGCTTTAGTTTAATCCATAAGTCATACTGCTAAAATGTAAAGCTATATTTCTGTTTGGGAACACAAAACAAAACCAGAAAGCTTAGGAAACCCCCAGAAAACAACAATGCAAAAAAACCCCTTATCTTTGTTCAAGTAGTAACACCCCACTGCAATCTTCTTTGTTTAACATGAAATTGCTTTGTTTAATTCCCATGAGTTATGAGAAACATGCCCCCCTCTATGATTTTCTATACTTGTGCGTAAGTGGATTGAACATAATCTAACCCAGACATCTAAAGACTGAGAAATTAATGACCTTGTAATTCCTCTCATTACTTGCTATACTACAAGAATCGCTGGCTCATTGGTCGATTTATGTTAATATACTGATCGGAAAAAAGATCCAAGGGTAGAAAGTAAAAGGGAAAAAATGCCCCTGAAGGAAGCCTGATTAAAGCAATGTGCAGAGAATGAGTTTCTGGCATGACGATACAGTGCTAGAAGTTAGGCTAAGGATTCGGAGAGGCTTCAAATCTCCCAGTCTAATCATGTTAGCTGCAGCAGAATCGTCAATGCATTGGAAAACTTCCAGAACTGGCTCCTTCATAGCCTTAGTAATTGGGACACTAATATCAGAGTATGAAGAAAAGGGAGAAATGGGAATGAGAGGGCTGTATAATCTAAAAGTGAGAGAGGAAAAAGACACCAAACTCCCCTGCTCTCTGGGTTATTTGTATCATTATGGAATAACAATAAAGGGTGTATGAAAATCAGAGGAAAATTGAAGAGTGATTTAAAACAAGGCGTTTTTATTGCAAAATCATTTTTCATCTTCTGAAGGATTTTTCTTTTAATAACATGGTCCATAATGTAAGAATGGGTGCTGATCAAACCTTAGAGATTATGCAAATAGCGGTGCTGTTAATCATTTGTGGCACTATATCACTGAGAGTGTATTTTCCTCCAAATAATAATATAAACTCATGTTTCATCCCTTAGAGAAAGGTGGAGATGGCAAGAATTTGGCTTTATGTACTTAGATACCTTTTATGAAAAAAGGACTAGAGTACTCTAAATTAAACTGAATTTCACAATTCTTTAAATTGTCATTTACAGAAAGAAATCCGTCAGTCCTGTCCAGATGGCATCATGTGCTATATTATAATGCTCTATGGAAAATGGATTTATAATACTGACCCTACACTTTTATTTGGAAGAAGACTGAAAATGTTTAAAGTTTGTTTCACTTGATTTTGCCAATTTAGTTTAAAATAACGTACATAATTCACGTACCCTAGCATTGCAAATCTAGATTTCACTGAACTATCATTGTCATTTTAGAAACCTTCTAAAAAAACCCCATCATGTCACTTTTGAGCAGTAGGTATAATATCAAATATTCAAATTGGTTTTTAAAATGTACAGACCGTGCGCCCTAACTGATGTACTGAATCTGCAATGCAGCTGTAAGTACCTCTGTTCACAGTTAATGGTAGGTAGTAAACCAGAGACTATGCTAAAGCATGTGAAAGTTTGATCCATTAGATAAACACTTTCCTCTGAAGTTTACCAGCCTCCTTTTAGGTAGGGAACATCAATATTTCAGATCTTGGTAACAATATTTTTGCATTATGATTAAAAATACTCTTTCTGTACCAACTAAATATATAGATATATCTATCTCTATATCTATATGTAGAAGTAGATATCTATCCCCGTCTTCTAAATATGAAGTAACAACTTTTAATTTTTCAAAAAGTATTCGTAAGATAGTACATTTGGACTCTAAACCTCTGTCATGTTGTTGACCTTCACCATAGTAACCACATTTCTAAAGGCAAATTAAAATTTATTTATTTATTTGCAAGCTTTTGGGCTCACACCCTTCCGCAGGCAAAGGAAAATGCAAAGATTGTAAAGTTTCTCCCAGGGACAAACAAAACTTCCTATGAAGGAACACGGCTACAACCTCTATCCCCGATACTAATGGTTATGCATGCAGCCTGCAACAATCAGAGGGAGCCAAATCAACCTGAACCCCTGGATGAAGCAGGGCGAAAGCTAGAGCAGTTTTTCTACTTGTGCATTGTCGCAGGCTTGCTGCAGCTGCTTTAATGTTATGCTGTTAATGTTATGCCCTTAATAGAATATCCTGCTGTTGAACAGTGCCAAAAATGGGGCCAGGAGAGCTCAGTCTGAAAACTCAGGCAACTAGAGCCAGGGAGGCAATAGCTGCGGCTTGCTAAGGCTAAGCCAAAACCCAGAAAAGGCAAAACCATTAGTAAAAATTTGCAAGGCATGGGCATGGGTGCAGGGGAGAATGGAGCTCATGAAACAAGCCCTTAAAGCAACTACGGTTTGGAAGGACCAGGAGGGTCTGACCTAGCACCTGGGGGTGGAGGGCTTAAACAGCTGGAAGAGGGTTCCTGCTGCGAGCAGGAGACAGAAGCCCAAGAGCCAGGATACTTTCCACATGAAGACAGAGCAACGGGAACTGTGTAGAGCAGTGGTCTCCAAACTTTTTTGATAGCGCACTCCTATCAGTAAAAAATGTTTGAGCATGCACCTCCAATACATGTATATTTATTTATTGGTAAATTATATACACGTATTACTTTCATACCGTACGTGACATGTGACTGTCTGACATACGGACCGAGTGAGGGCGCCAGTGTCAATCCGTGTATTAAATATTAGTAAAGCTTAACTTTTCTTATTTTTCTACATAAAAAATTAAATAAAAATAGAAGTTCTAATATTTTCTTCCCGCACCCCAATGGATCTTCTTGCGCACCCCCCCTGGGGTGTGCACACCCCACTTTGGAGACCACTAGCGTAGAGAAGAGAGTGAGCAAGAGAGCGCAGGCAGGTCGGTGGATGATTGAAACCTGAGGACCATACCAGGACAGACGCTCCGTCCGGGAGCTCAAATAAAGAGTACGAAGTGCTGGAGATAACTGGCAGGAGGAGGAGGGCGGCAGACTAGCGGTGGCAAAGCCCAGTCTGGAACTCCCTTCGGGTCTGGGAAGCCGCACCCCCCCTGCTGTTCATGTGTTGTGCTGTCCGTTTGTGTTGATTCCTGCTGGGAGGAAGTGTGCTGGAGGTCCAGGGACAATGAAGGAGGACTGTAAACGAGCACAGCGGGAGTGTTTGAGCTAAGTGAGTCCCCAACCTGCTAAAAATGGCCAGAACATTATCATTCTTTGTAAAAAAAATATATATATATATATATATACACACACACA